ATGAAAGTATTTTTCTTCCAGTTGTCATTTAACATAAATACTATTTCATATCCTCTCTTCTTCTACTGAGATTCAACTTTGTCTGCTCTATCATCTATCGTTCTATCATATATGCATTGAGGTAGATGATTGGAATATTTGTGATAATAGATATATGTGTATGTACGTGTGTTTACACAAACATATGTGCATATACGTGTATGCACATATATATGCATATAACTAGACTTTGTAGTTTTAATCGGATGTAATTAGGTCGAGCAAGCTCGTCTATAAGATCGACGTTTCAAATGATCGAAATGCTTCCTTCTTTGATCACTTTTCATATATAGACATCCGATAAATAATAACACCCTTGCTGCTTCTCTCTGTGCGATAATAAGAAACGAAATGTCGAATTCGATGAACGATATCTGTCATCGCGATCATTTCTATTTCCCTTTAACACAAGATAGCAACGTGATCGGCGGCAACTAGCCAACTTGTTACTCGTCTCCACCAATTATAGGATCTAGAGATCTTTCACGGCTACGGAATAACGCTCATTTGTGCTTCGACGGAGCCAAACTGGGCGATATCCGAGTCGTGTGATAGCAACTACGTGGCTCGGAATCAATCCTATTGTCGTTAGATCCGAGATTCACCGCAATAAAGTAAATTGCAGAAATAGTTCACGTTACCGCGCGTCAACAGTCATGTCGAACCAACTTTCGATATCCCCGTTAGTTAGAACGAATAACGAGAAACTATTCGGACTTGACAACTTCCGGCTCTTCGTTATCGCTATACTCGTCCTCCTCCTCCTCCTCCTCCTCTCCTCCCGACACGTCCATCTCGTCGCCGGTATGTCTGTCGTGCATCTCGTCCCTATCCTCATGATTAACTCCTCCCGACACTTGTTCCTCATCTCTACCGATAATAGGATAGGGATCCTCCAGGCTGCGACCGCCATGCTTCTCTATGGCGTTCATCTGCGCCTTGGCGGTGCCAAGATGAGCCATCCTCATGGCGACCGCGTGCTCCGGAGACAGCCCCATTGTCGATAGATCCGTGTTCTCCGCGATCAGTTGCAGATAAGTGTTCAGGAGCGCGGAGCCGCTGATCGCGCTGGTGTTGTGCCCCGGATGGTGACCGGACGAGTGCAACGGCGGCATTTTAGACTCCCGAGTGTCGTGCATCGTGTCGAGGGATTTTGCGATTGATGTCGAGATCTTACTGTTGTTGCTACCGTTACTGCTGCCGCTTACCCTAGTGATCACGCTGGTGATGGAGTTGGATTTAATGGGGGACGGATTAAGCTTGAAGGGTAGAGGTAAAGTGAGATCTTCGGGATCGTCACCGCCGCAGTTGCTGCTGCCAGTCTCGGACGGGGCGCCTCCACGTGGCAGCTCCAGTCTTATGTCGCTTCTACGTGGCGCCGTCGGACTGGCCCTGGCGCGCAGCTCGGCCGGACTTACTTTCACCCCGGCTTTCGCCAGCAGCCGCGATGCCAGTTCTGGGTCGAACTGGCTCGGCATCTGCAAGACTGGGAGGTCCTTCGTGCTGATGCCGCGGTGTTGTCTCGACATGTGCGAGTGCAGGGAGTTCCGTGATTTCGCTACCGTGCCGCACAGGACGCATCGATAACCCGGACAGACCGTGTGCTTGTCTTCCAAGTGGGTGCGCAACGTGTGCGCCGATCGGTACATCTTGCCGCATTTCGGACAAGGTCTAGGATCCGTGGCGCGTACTCGTACCATGTCCATCGCTCGTCGACTGACTGAAAATACATCATAAATAAATGTCTGTTTAATTTCTTTACTGCATGATTAATCGATTAATTAGCGATTCATCGATTAATTGAGGATTACGTAGAAAATGAGATTTTCAATTGACTCATTTAATATATATGTATATATTAATATAATTATTATATATTATATATAAATAATGATTGTATATAATATATAACATATATTATATATAATTATCTCATAAAAATAAATCTTTTATATTACTTCTTAAAAAACTACACTTACAAGTCATTTATTTTTACATTTTCTATAAAAGTATTATATGTTATAGCCTGATTAATATTAGTAGCCAGGAATGTTAGCGGAGTAACGTGTTAGTACGTAGAGAGAGATCGTGAAAAAATTATAAAGATATAATACTCTAGATATTTTTCTGAATACTTTTTATTATACAAAGCATTACTTAAATAGTATATAGACTTCATTTCGTATGTTTTATATATGTATATATGTATAAGCTAATACCTGCTAAAATAGGTGCATATAATACTCTATACATTATTTACCATACGAGCTGTCAGTCATGAAAATAATATAGTCGACAATAAATAATACGTACGAAAAAAAAATTACGGTCTTGCTTTGTAGCCACAGTCCTATATATATTCTATATATATATTAATATAATGCATTTTTTATGCGTTTCAACGTCGTTTTGAAAATTATCGTAATTATGAGTACACTAGTATTCCTCATTAGTTAATGACATTTTCTTCGAGATCATAACTAACAACTCGTACACATATTCATATATATATGTGTATATATATACATATATTTATATATAATATATTATATATATATATATATATATATAATTTATTTATATATAATAATATATATATATATTTCTTTGTGTTTCTAAAATACGCCGCAATTCACGTATACATGATCTCGAACGTAATGTTTTCTTTTTTTTTGGGGAACTCTTTACCTAGGGAATACTGATAAAAGTAAGACTGTAGAAAAATAAGGCGTGTTGTCGAGCGACCTTTTACTTCTAGCCGACGTGTTCACTCGCAATTTCACCCACTCACATAGATCAGTATATTTTCACGCAATTTTGTGTGATCTAGTACACGCATCAACACATTTCTCTCTCTCTCTCTCTCTCTCTCTCTCTCTCTCTCTCTCTCTCCTTGACATTTCACATTGAATTTTGTCCACACTTTTCTCTCGTCGCTGGAGCAAATGAATCTTTAGAGCCAATCGAAGCCGCTTGATTTCGGCGCGATTATCGCTGCCGTTTTTGGCGTGCGCGTGTTTCCGGTTTTCTACATTCTTAAATACTACGTTATTTAACATAAGGCTGGCTTACTCAGCTTAGAGGAACATTGTTTTCTCTTTTAGATACGTAATCTAATCGTTATATTTCGACGCCAGACGTCGCTGTGTGTTTATTATGTGTGTATCGCTTGATCCTACCTGGTCTACGCTTCGGATTTCTAGAGGAAATACTGTTTTTCATACATTTTATACAAAATCAATTCTATATATGTTTATGTATAACTCTCTCTCTCTCTCTCTCTTTCTCTTGTATGTATCTGTCATGTGTACATATATACTCTATAATAGCTTTTTATATATTTATAAATTTTTGTCCTTTGTAATCCGATATAATTTCTCGCATATGTACATACAGTGTGCGTTTTTAATCAGGGATAGACTTCACGGTGGGTGCATGTATGACAGTTTAGAGATAAAGCACTGAAGATAGTTCGATTTTCACTTTTGTGCATCTCCTATCACGTGAAAAGACTATACGGCAAACTTACTTTTTTTTTTTAGCTAATTCTCAATTCTGCATTCTTATCAACGCATACACTCGTTTCGTTCTTTTGTGTCTTTCGATACTCTGCACATAGTTTTATAAAATATCCAATCTCCGTCGACCAGACTCTCTTCCAACTTTCATGATTCGAAGTGGCTTTTTGCGCGGCGATAATACACTCCGTTTTATATTAATTTGATTGATAAATGTATACAAGTTTGAATTTTTTTATACACAAAAATGATTGTCAATTGATATTTAAGTACACATTATATTCACTCAAATACATTATTTTCTCGTACGCAATTTTATTTAATTCCATCGTACAAGAGTAATATTAGATTTTATATCAGCGACAATATTTTTATTTAAATTTAGATACTTTGACTAAACAATTTTTATTACAAAAAATTTAATAAAATGTATGCATATATAAAAATTGAAATTGAAAATTCTGACTTGAATCTACTCGGATATTTATCGCCGCGCAATTGCTAAAAGATTAAAAGGAGAAAAACAAAATTTTCTTTGGCAAATTAACACTAGGACATGCAATTACACTTATAGCGACCTTCGCCTGTTAAATCAAACGTAGGTCCACCTCAAGGTCTTAATCTGATCCCACTGCACAGGATGCTTGAGTCGCATGTGATTTCTAACACTATTGGGATGGGAGAAGGTTTTGGCACAGGAGGTAACGGGACAGGTAGGCGAGTCTCTGGGATAATGATGATCCAGATGCGCCCTCATCGCGCTGATGTCCTGGAACGTTCTGCAGCAGAGGGGACATCTGTAACCGTGCTGCCGATGGTGCTCCCGTAGTAATCTCTGTTGCCTGAAGTCCGGCTGGCCGCGCTGATACTTGCTCGTAGTCGTGATCGTCGTGGTGGCCGTGGTGGAGGATTGATTAATTGATGCGTCGTCTTCCGCCGGCGCCTGATGACGGTGGTGAGGAGGAGGGACGGATAGTGGATGATGATGGCGATGCCGATGATGTTGCTGGTGATGGCTGTGGTGGTGGTGGTAAGCCGCACCCTCTGCCTCATCAAGCCCGTGATCTGCAACCACCACCACACCAACGTTACCACCAGCCACCACCACCGTAATCCCACCCCGAGCTATACACGATAATGCTACGCGCGCCCCAACCTCGACCGACCCGATGTTCAACATCTAGGAATATTTCCCGCAGCGAAATTACACCCGCGCTCTTACTTTGATATCAATCGATCGCTAATTGTTATTCCGCGCGGGCGAAGACTATTTGTGCAATTAATTCGGAGTGCATTTTTTTTTTTTTTTTTTAAACATCATTGAGTACTTTGATTAATGTTTCCGAGAAAATTCATATAAACTCTAATTAATATCGGAATAAGTTTTTTTTTTTCTGAATCGAGCGTTAAATTGTTAATTTTTTTTCAACACTTATAATTTATGTTTTTTTTTAAGTACTTGTTGTTATATATGTATTGAAAATAATATCTCACGTGAAATAGTCTTCAACATAAAAGTCGCATCAAGATCATTGAAATATATACATGTTATATCTTTCATACTTTCAGTATATAGTAATAAACATTTATAACAAATAGATATATCACATAATTAAGAGCATGGCAGATGTTGACACATAGCTAGGATAATCGGATTATATAATAAACTCGATTTAAATAAAATTCTACCAAAAAATAAAAATGCGATATATCGCGCGCATGTCAAGATTTTTTACGGGATATAATTATTTTATAAACATGGTTGGAAGGAGTCTGTATCGTGCAAGAAAATGGACAATTGACATTGCCATTTAATCATGTTCTTTTAAATGGGAAAATTAGGATATTTTGCAGAGATTGAAGATCTTTTACACTAAATAAGAGTATCTGGATTTTCGGCGAAAGGTAGCGGAGGTGTTCGAGGTGTTTTATCAACAAGGCTTGTCGATGAATTTGCAAACAATCGAGTATGCCAGATTTGTAATAAATCTCCCATCACGTGATCAGTTATAATTATACGTTCACGTAATTATCTCGTATTATTTAAAATTATGCATTCGATCAACTTTCGTATACTCATTCGATATCGTATACATTTCTCGTTACATTTAATTGATTTTGAGCGTCACGTTGAGACATCAGACGATCAATCATTTGTTTTCTCATGTCGTATAAAAAATCAGTATGTACGTATCGTTTTTTTTTTTTTTGTATTGCGTTTGGGCATGGACTTAATTTGCCGTCCATAAAATTGCAAAACACGCAGCTCGTTCGATTCATTTGTCATAATTAGAAATAATAATTATAATTTTACATTCGTTTTGTTCTTTTTCGTCACGCAGTTCCTCTCAATGTATCTCATTTTTCAAATAAAAGATTTCATTACGACTGTAATGCTATCAACGTCGAATCACAATCTCAAAGTTATATCACAGAGCTAAATCATATCTAGCTACGACGCTAATGAATACATCACGCTTCATCCAGCACGTTATCATTTGTAATACGCGATTTCTACATAAGGAGAAATAAAAATAAAATTGTCCATAACAAAAAACACAATTTAATGCGGTTAAATCATATATAAATCAAATAGCGGAATAGGCAATTTCCGTCAAAAGCCACCCATTGTGCACATTCGGTCCTCGCATTGTAAAAGCAACATTGTGTCCGCGATGGGGGATATCAATCATTAACCCTGACTAATGCCCAAACGGCCGCCTAACAACATTATCGGAAATGCACGTATTTCTCTCGCTGCCCTGTATCGACCACCTACAAAAGCTTCGCGTTCCGTCAGTTCTGGCGAAGCCTCGAAATGGACGAAATAATATTCGGACGAGTAACGGCGGCAGCCGCGATAACGGGGAATCCCCAAACTCGTCGCGATTTCCAATCATCGAGGCTAAAGTCTCTCGGCAATCGGCGAAAACTTGGCGTCCCGACGACTCTCGGACACCAAACGTACTCATGGCAACGAGGACGGCGACTGATGCTGCTGTTGCTGCTGCTGGGTCGCGGGATTGTTCATACTAGGCCGCTGATGGATCCCGTGCGCCTGCAGCTGATGATTGATCAGGTAGTGCTTGGTCTTGCACCGTTTGCCGCATACGTTGCACTGCGGCCACGTGTCCGGTGGCGGCCAGTTCGAGTGGACGTTTTTCACGTGCTGCCTCAGGTTGCTCGGCGACGAGTAGCTACGGCCGCAGTAACGGCACAGAGGCCTAGCGTCGTCGTGGCGCAGTGCCGTGTAGAGCCTCGCGAAATTCTCCACCGCCTGTGTGGTTTCGCTGGCGGAGGCCGTCATCGCGGCTTCTTCCCTCTTCGGCACCGCCGATCCTACAACCAGGACGTGCCCATCAGTTGATACCCATTTCTCTCTCTCTCTCTCTTTCTCTCTTTAGCATACTCTGTCCCTAACAGCACACATATCCCGTTCAGAGAACATCCTGAGGATGTTCGAAAGTCCTCCGGATATCCTCTGAATGTCTTTCGGATATGGTGTGCTATTAATAGCACACATATCCCGAAGACGTTCAGAGAACAGCCTGAGGATGTTCGAATGTCCGGATATCCTCTGAATGTCTTTCGGATATGGTGTGCTATTAATAGCACACATATCCCGAAGACGTTCAGAGAACAGCCTGAGGATGTTCGAATGTCCGGATATCTTCTGATGTCTTTCGGATATGGTGTGCTATTAATAGCACACATATTCCGAAGACGTTCAGAGAACATCCTGAGGATGTTCGAATGTCCGGATATCCTCTGAATGTCTTTCGGATATGGTATGCCATTAGCACACATATTCCGAAGACGTTCAGAAAACATCCTGAGGATGTTCGAATGTCCGGATATCCTCTGAATGTCATTGAGATATGGTGTGCTATTAGCACACATATCCCGAAGACGTTCAGGGAACATCCTGAGGATGTTCTAATGCCCTCTGTATATCCTCTGGATATTCTCTGAATGTCTTTCGGATACAGTGTGGTATTAGGGATTGCATAAGCACTCGCACTCCCTCTTTCGCGCGCACTCTCTCTCCTCCTCATTCAGTACCCACATGCGTACCTCCTTTCTCTATCATACACATGTATGTAGTCTACACATTCGCACGAGTGTACAGAGCCACATACACGTTGAACCTTTCTTTCTTTCTGTCGCTCTCGCTCTGCCCCCTGGTTCTTCGTGTCTGAGGCACATGTGGCCAGTCACACGTGACTCCTTTTTCTCTCTATCTCTCACCTATATTCTCCCTCTCTCTCATTCGTTCCGCACCCTCGAGCGCACTTTCGCGCTCGATCCGTCTGTCTCCCTTTACACACATACGCACACACACATACACACACACTCTCGTTCTCTCGTTCTCTCTTTCTCTCTCTCTCTCTCTCTCTCTCTCTCTCTTTCTTATTCACTCACTCGCTTTAGCATAAACATATTCGCACGCGTACTACTCTCGTACTCTCAGGGCATGCCCGGTTGTAGGATTTTTAGTGTGTTGTTGATGTTGTTGTTGTAGTTGTTGATGTTGTTTCTTATCCAAAATATATGTAATTTGACTTGGCCTAGACTAATCGAGTCGCAATGATTTGCCTCATTTTTATCCCTCTTAATTTCTCGGCATCATGCTCTCACGTGAAGATGATATACAGGCGACTTTTGGTTCGTTGTATCTACGCCATAACGCAGTTTCGCAACATGCAATACTATTCTCGCAATTTCGGAGTAGCTGCCGCCGCTACGACGCGCTTCTCTCTCAAATGGGTTGGGAATTTCGGGGGAGTAAACGGAAGATCACCGTATTCAATCTATCGACAAGCATCGTCATCCGCCTTCGTCCTCGTGCACACCGAGTTCTCGAAGAGAGAGATTGAGAGAGATAGAGAAAGAGAGAAAAAGACAGGAGAGAAACAGAGGGTTGAGAGGACGAAGCCGAGAGAAATAGAAGATCGGGTTGGAAGAAAGAGATAAGGAAGAGCGGAAAAGTTGAGTGTGAAGGAGAGAGACAGAGCAAGAGTAAGCGAACTACGTAAGAACCCTCGTATTGATCCACTCTCTACGCCTCGTTACGACTATCTTTCCTACGAATCTCCTAAGCATAAGGCCTCTCCCACTTTCGTGTACGTCTCATTACGTAAAAGGGAGGAATATGTAGATCCACCACGTGTAGTGGTTTGTTTTAGGTAAAGATTTCTTCCTTCTCCAGCGATTATCGTGAATATTTCGTTTTTCAAACAAGTCTAAATATTGTATAAGAAGAAATTATTATTTTCTTGTTATAAAATAAAATATTTTATTGCACGCTTTGTAGGTGTGCATCTTTTTTTTTAATTTTCAACGAGGAAAACAAGAAATGTCACAGCTGTGCTTTTCTCTTTCTCCGGCGATGAAAATAAAATATTATTTCTATACTAAAAATATTCACTTTCCAATATAGAGAAAAAATATTTTTTTACACGCTAGCAAAAATAATTTTCAACTGAAATTCGATGAACGATATTTGTACATGACTGTAGTATTTCATTCTCGAAATTGAATTTTGTTGGCTCATCAGGAATAACATGCAAAAAAAGTGCGCAGTATGTAGAGCTGCTTTCTGATTTATAGTTGGATGACAAACCAATTTATTAGAATTACAGAGCCATATATATATATACCTATAACCCGAACCGCGAGAAACGCGATGATTTATATATCAATCGGGTCTACAACAGAATTTGGGTGGAATTAAGGTCACATCGCTTCTGGAGCATTAGGGTCACGATGTGTTCTTTTCTCTTCTCATTTTCATCTTTTGTCATCCAATTTTTAAACTTTGCCCGTATTCGTGAAAACACATAAATGAATATTATGAAAAAAATCTCTTTCACCCCATTAATTAATATTCCCAGTCAAGTCCAGAATTTAATTAAATCTTAAATGCTCGGTTTAATTTACTTCATCATTATTCTATAAAATATTCCTATATATTATTCCTTATTTCATAATATTCTACATACCACCCATTCCATGTTTTATATTTTCCATAATATTCCATATTCCAGTGATACTTGCAAATTGTCAAGATAAACATTTTCACTCAAGCAAATATTATCAAATGATCAACTTGATTGTTTGCAGAATTTCCAATAATAAAAATCATATTTTGTATTAAATGCGAAATATTATTTATCACATGATCACTTCTTTAGGCATGAAATACATTTAGGTAAGACAGTGATTAATCGAAAAATCTTGAAAGCTCAGGTTCGATCGATCGGGGTGAGAGGTGTACGTTATTCTTTTGATTACAGCCAACCTCTGAACCGATCGGATGGAAGAGAATGATAGAAAGATGGGTGTGGAATGTGGAGAAGAGTGCGATAAGCGGAAACAGACGAAATAAGGGGAGGATAGGCGAGAGAAAAGCAGGAGAGAAAAGTGGTAAAGGACGGAGGAAGAATAGTCGAAATGATAAAGGATCTGGAAAATAGGGAAAGATGCTAAGAGATTTAGAGAAGATAAACGAAGAGACGTGATTTCTTTTATAAGAAATTCTTCCTCTAAAATGAAATTACCTCTCGAGAAAATGTAAAAAGTTCTGCGGAACGGTTAAAAAAATAAAAAAAAATTTACTTCTTCTCTCTGCTTAACTCGATCTCGAGGAGAGTAAAATGAAAGATAATATTTTAATTTTATTAAGAGAAAAGATATATAAATGTAAGTTTCTAAATTGGGAAAATTTAACAACACGAGGAAAGAAACGATTTTACGCGAAAAGATAAAATTAGAACCCGATATATTTTCGTTATGATGAAATGTCAGAAAAGAGCAGCTGCTCTTAAAGAATTCAACCTCAATTCGTCTCGAGCACCCTCAAGATTTTAGCTTGCGTCATTATAAAACTTTTTCAAATTATTCAATGGAAATTGCGAATTTGTCAAAATCGTTCCGATCTATAATACAGAAAATTATAAATTTTCTTTCGAAAGTGCATAACATTAAAATAATTTTAATCTGCAATCATACAAAATTTCCAGCAACAAATTTAAATTATTCTCGGCAGCAGCAAACTTTATTATTTCAGAAAAAATGACTGTTACTGTGCAACACAATCACATGAAGAGAGAATGGGTAACTCATTAAGAAAATTCGAGGGAGAATGAAATATTAGAAGATAATGCAGCGAGAACTTTGGACGAAGAGCGTCTCGAGATTTTTGCAAAAAAGTTGACGTAAAAGGAAGAGATGTAGGGTGGACACCAGTGTTGTCGACAGGGAGGGAGAATCGGTAGCAAGCCAGGATGATTGCGCGAGTCCATTAGCGGCGTCGCTCCGACGAATTGCGCTGCATTAACGAGGACCTGCTTCTCGAGGAGCAGTCAGCACGCTGATTGGCCGAAGGGAGCCCGAAGATCGATGTCTTCGGGTTTCCGGGAAAGTCCTTCCGCGTCAGCCTCGCGTTACCGCAGGGGCGAGCAACCCGAAAACGTCGATCCCGTAGAGAAAGAGAGAGAGAGAGAGAGAGATAGAGAAAGAGAGACAGAGAGAGAGAGAGAGAGAAGAAAGAGAGGGAGATGTAGACGGGGATCGATATATGGCAGTGCAATTTCTATTCCTGGAAGTATTACCGAAATGAGAAACGAGCCTCGATGTGCCACATAACGAAATCCGATTCTATGTTGTGCTACGAAGTGCAAAGTATTTCGTAGCGTCCCCTGGGAATTAATCAGGAATCGAGTTTGTTTCGAGATACCTCGTACATTGAATTTTCATCCCAGAACTTTAAATTAAACTGTATCTTTATTTTTAAAAATTTTAATAAATAAATGTAACTCATTATTTTTGTCGAAATCAATTATTCGTAAAAGGTCTCTGACACCTGTCAATATCGATAATTTTTATTGTTCTGTTATCTCCTCTTTGATCGCACCTGGCTTCCAACGGCATAAATAAATTTTTGTTAAGTCTCGATACTCGTACATTGAATTTTCATCCCAGAACTTTAAATTAAACTGTATCTTTATTTTTAAAATTTTAATAAATAAATGTAACTCATTATTTTTGTCGAAATCAATTATTCGTAAAAGGTCTCTGACACCTGTCAATATCGATAATTTTTATTGTTCTGTTATTTCCCTCTTTGATCGCACCTGGCTTCCAACGGCATAAATAAATTTTTGTTAAGTCTCGATACTTCGTACATTGAATTTTCATCCCAGAACTTTAAATTAAACTGTGTGTATCTTTATTTTTTAAAATTTTAATAAATAAATGTAACTCATTATTTTTTTCGAAATCAATTATTCGTAAAAGGTCTCTGACACCTGTCAATATCGATAATTTTTATTGTTCTGTTATCTCCCTCTTTGATCGCACCTGGCTTCCAACGGCATAAATAAATTTTTGTTAAGTCTCGATACCTCGTACATTGAATTTTCATCCCAGAACTTTAAATTAAACTGTATCTTTATTTTTAAAAATTTTAATAAATAAATGTAACTCATTATTTTTTTCGAAATCAATTATTCGTAAAAGGTCTCTGACACCTGTCAATATCGATAATTTTTATTGTTCTGTTATCTCCCTCTTTGATCGCATCTGGCTTTCAACGGCATAAATAAATTTTTGTTAAGTCTCGATACCTCGTACATTGAATTTTCATCCCAGAACTTTAAATTAAACTGTATCTTTATTTTTAAAATTTTAATAAATAAATGTAACTCATTATTTTTGTCGAAATCAATTATTCGTAAAAGGTCTCTGACACCTGTCAATATCGATAATTTTTATTGTTCTGTTATTTCCCTCTTTGATCGCACCTGGCTTCCAACGGCATAAATAAATTTTTGTTAAGTCTCGATACCTCGTACATTGAATTTTCATCCCAGAACTTTAAATTAAACTGTATCTTTATTTTTAAAAATTTTAATAAATAAATGTAACTCATTATTTTTTTCGAAATCAATTATTCGTAAAAGGTCTCTGACACCTGTCAATATCGATAATTTTTATTGTTCTGTTATCTCCCTCTTTGATCGCACCTGGCTTCCAACGGCATAAATAAATTTTTGTTAAGTCTCGATACCTCGTACATTGAATTTTCATCCCAGAACTTTAAATTAAACTGTATCTTTATTTTTAAAAATTTTAATAAATAAATGTAACTCATTATTTTTTTCGAAATCAAATATTCGTAAAAGGTCTCTGACACCTGTCAATATCGATAATTTTTATTGTTCTGTTATCTCCCTCTTTGATCGCACCTGGCTTTCAACGGCATAAATAAATTTTTGTTAAGTCTCGATACCTCGTACATTGAATTTTCATCCCAGAACTTTAAATTAAACTGTATCTTTATTTTTAAAAATTTTAATAAATAAATGTAACTCATTATTTTTTTCGAAATCAATTATTCGTAAAAGGTCTCTGACACCTGTCAATATCGATAATTTTTATTGTTCTGTTATCTCCCTCTTTAATCGCATCTGGCTTCCAACGGCATAAATAAATTTTTGTTAAGTCTCGATACCTCGTACATTGAATTTTCATCCCAGAACTTTAAATTAAACTGTGTGTATCTTTATTTTTAAAAATTTTAATAAATAAATGTAACTCATTATTTTTTTCGAAATCAAATATTCGTAAAAGGTCTCTGACACCTGTCAATATCGATAATTTTTATTGTTCTGTTATCTCCCTCTTTGATCGCACCTGGCTTCCAACGGCAGTTTTCTTAACGATCAGTTACATCAACATTCGACGCGATTCAAGCTTTAGATTTATGACAGACGATTTGATATATTGCATAGTCGTCGAGAAGGAAGGGAGAAGGAGGAAGTCCGAAGGGATGGAAAAGTTTAATTTAGATAGCTGACGTGGTTTACCTACAGACTCGCGCTTGCTTCTCCCCTCGACGCGATTCAAGTTTTTTGTTCCTTCGGGGCAAAAGAAAAATAAAATACACCGCGCATTGCGATGAGAGTACTTTTTTTTTCAACTTTCGCTCTTCCGCTCATTCGCTCTCGCGTGCAAAACGGGGATGTAAAGAGGGATGTAGCGTTTCATATTGCATAAATTGCATCGCTCTCGTTATAATTGATCGAGGCATTTAAATCTCTGACCTTGGCATCTTTATACGGTTCTTTGGCATTCAAGTTTAATTAGTTCAAAAGGCTTACATATATATATTTTTAAAGACAAAGTCAGACAAATTTGAATTTTCACACATTTTAATTAAATTTGCTAATTTTGTAAATATTAATAGCGACTTTTTATATGCAGTTTATTGAATCTATTTCAGAGATCAGAAATTATTGTTTAATTTAAGTTTCATTTTATATAGTATTATATTGATTTCTGAGCTTATATATATCATTATAGAAATATATAAAATGAAATAAAACAATATTATAGTAAACATTTCCATTAATTTCGTTCTTCTTGAAAAATTTTAGTAAGACTTTTCTATATAGATAGATTATTTTTGTCCTTCAAAAAGTATCTAAAATGACACGAAAAAACGATCAGGCGATACTTTTGAAGTTCTTCATAGTTGATGAAACGAGACAGAATAGGAGAGGACTTAAAATTGAGAAACCATGTCGTTTGTTGAAAGTTTTTTCCCGAACTGAATATGACGCACATCGCACATCGTGCGTGACATGAGAAAGCATGTTTAGGTGGGAAGGAAGAAGAGAAGACACATAGTTGGAACGACTTTCGTCCTGGGTGGGTTGGATTTGCAAATGCGAGGGTTAGAATGAAGCTGGGATGGCAGAAGCCGCCTATGGATGAAACTGAGATTGCTTGGCAATGGCAGTAATAACGAAAAATATAGAATTGCGTATACAAACATAAAACGAAAGAACATGGTAAACAAGAAGATTTACCGATAAGATATATAATACCAAAAAAAAAAAATTATTTTTTATTTCACGTAGCGAGAAGAATCTGCTTTTCCGAATTAATCAGTTAAGGTTGAATAGAAATACATAAATAAAAGTTAGATTACATGAATCCGTAATATTAAATTTGCAGGATTAATTAAAATAAATATCGATTTTAACTCCAAAATATTTATAGCAAATATAATTAAATTATATAATATTTAAATTATAATAATTAAATTATATAATATTAAATTAAAAAATATTTTTTAAAAATAACAATGCAAATTTATAATTCATAAAAATAGATTAAATATAAAATAACCATAAATATTATTATCTATCCCGCAAAAATATATATGTTATATCGGGAAAAGCTATATAAGATAATGCAAGATTGGAACGGACACGTGATATGGAATTGTATAAGGGGTACGGAAAAAGGATAAGAGAGGAAAGAGTATTGGAAGACATTGAAGGGGATGGATATCGCTGTGCGTGACGCGCGTGTGTTAAGACGTGAGTATGCGCGCGTTCCAGGCACGTTAGAAGGAAATAAAGGGTGGATTTACGTATTCGGAGTGAATTTCGCCTGAGGAGATTGCCAGAATCACGTAGGACAGCAGAACCTCGTAAAAGCTTCGAGGAAAAACGGGTCGTATAAAAAGAAACAACGCATAAAACAAAACCTCCCTTAAAAAGCGTACCAGAAATTAATCCCTGGAATGAAGTATCAATATTTTCGAAATGCAAAATTCTCGCGAGATAACCCCAATTATTTTCAAATAACACAAAAGAGGGATGAGACACCTGTAAGAAAACGTCTATCGAACGTCGTGCATTAATCATTTCGGGAACTCTGTATATTCGATGGGGGTTGGATCGCGGCCGAACTCATAAAAAGAAACTCGAGCGATATCGACGAAGGAAATAATATCTGTGGCGCGCGTGACATGCGTGCATTAAGCCCACGGATATGTAAGACCCGGACATGTTGAGGAAAAAAAAAAGAAAGAAGAGGGTGAATTGGAACGCAGTTGGAATGACTTTGGTCCGCAAAGGGAGCAGCGAAGGGTAGAAAGGAGAGTCAGGGCGATCGGAGGTATCAGCGAAGAAGCTTAGGGTAGTGGTGGTGATGGTGGTGGTGGTGGAGATGGTGGTGGTGGTGATGGTGGTGGTGGTGGTGGTAGTGGTGGTGGTTGAATGGCGGCAAGGAGTGGGTGTACTGGGGGCAAGTGAGGGCAGATCAATGCGAACATGTGCGGGAAATTGCAGAGGGATCGATCCCAGAACCCTCGGGGAAAGCGCGGCCTCTATGTTTTTCTCTGTCATTCTCTCCCTTTCTTTCTCGCACTCCGTTATGTACCCTCTGTGCCTCCGTCTACTCTATCTCTCATTTTGCTTTTCTCCGCGTCTTTGTTCCTTTTTTTTCTTCTCACTCTTCCTCGCGAATTTTTTGCCTTTTCGTGAAACGCCTTTTTCTCTATCGAATGACGAATGCGGTGCTTAAATTAATATTTTAAATTGGTTTTAAAAATATATAGAATATTCCAAAACCATCAACTGGTTTTTTAAGAACATTAAAACATATGTTGTACTTATTTATGTCCTTCTTTCTTTTTTTTCTTCTCACTCTTTCTCGCGAATTTTTTGCCTTTTCGTGAAATGCCTCTTTCTCTATCGAATGACGAATGCATTGCTTAAATTATTATGATTGATCATCTAAATTGGTTTTAAAAATATATAGAATATTCCAAAACCATCAACTGGTTGTTTAAGAACATTAAAACATATGTTGTACTTATTTATGTCCTTCTTTCCTTTTTTTCTTCTCACTCTTCCTCGCGAATTTTTTGCCTTTTCGTGAAACGCCTTTTCTCTATCGAATGACGAATGCGGTGCTTAAATTAATATTTTAAATTGGTTTTAAAAATATATAGAATATTCCAAAACCATCAACTGGTTGTTTAAGAACATTAAAACATATGTTGTACTTATTTATGTCCTTCTTTCCTTTTTTTCTTCTCACTCTTTCTCGCGAATTTTTTGCCTTTTCGTGAAATGCCTCTTTCTCTATCGAATGACGAATGCGGTGCTTAAATTAATATTTTAAATTGGTTTTAAAAATATATAGAATATTCCAAAACCTTAAGAACATTAAAACATATGTTGTACTTATTTACTTTTTTTTCTTCTCACTCTTTCTCGCGAATTTTTTGCCTTTTCGTGAAACGCCTCTTTCTCTATCGAATGACGAATGCGGTGCTTAAATTAATATTATTGATAATTTAAATTGGTCTTAAAAAATTGAAAAATATGTAGGATATTCCAAAACCATCAACTGGTTTTTAAAAACATCCACAAAACGTTAAAACATATATGAAATGTATATGCAAATGTGACTAAAATAATGTATGTAGATGATCTACATCTCAGATATGGATGTTCGGTGGATATTCATCAAGCATCTAAATTTAAATTGATAGAAATAGTTGTTACACTTTTAATTGCTAGACGCTTTATGCAAGCTTTATATAACTTTATGATTAAAACGCAAATATGAAATAGCGTCTAAAGTGTTGTATAGCGATAAACGAACAAACTAGCGAATGTACGTAATTAAAAATTGCATTCTATATGTATATATAATATAAAATGTCAATGAATATACATATTATATATATTATAATGTATAATACCAAATCATGTATACGAGTTGTTTAAACATTCTATGCATATAAAATATTATTTTCATGTCGTAAAAAAGATGCATAGAATTTTCGATGTTATAGCAGATTCTCTGGCCAATTTAAAGACGACTTTTTCTCAAGAAAAATATTGAAGCATTAATAATTTCAGAATCACGAGAAAAAAATTTCACAAATTAAAATTTGTGGAATTAAAAGATTGACACAATTACATTCTTTAGTTAATTTTAAATAAAGTTTACTTAATAGAATTTCAATTTAATTATATTAGTCACAAAGCTATATAATGCCAAAAGATTGAGAGTTTGACAGAGAATTTATAATTCAAAAAATATTTGTGAATATTCATATTCAAATATTTTGGAATATTCATATTTATTTATATGCTTTCTATATATTCTGTACTCTGTACATTCAAAAAGATTTCTAAAAATATAAAGGAAAATACAAAAATGTCCTATATCATAGAAAATTTTAAATAATAATGAAACTCTACGTGTGACTCGAAATAAAATTTTCTGAACAATTGTTTTCTTTCTCGAGAGAAAAAAGATCTCTAGAAAATATATAACCATCTCCTCAAAAAATTTTTTTTAATAAAAATCCAATATATTTTCTACAAATTACTATGAGGCATGTTTTCTAGGCAAGTTGACATTTCAAGCACAGCGGGTTATTTCCGACGAATTTATGTTACACATTGCAGGACGAAAATAACAGAGAAATACAAAAAATTGTAAAGATCTTTGCGTAATAGATTTTGTAAGAGTTACGGTACAGCTGTATGAAAATAAGAAAATCGTATTTCACGAATAGTAAGAAGCGTGCAATATTAAAAAAAAAAAAAAAAAGAAACTCAGATTTGTTACCCTTTGTAGAGAAAAGCAATCTATCGCCTTTGAAACACTTTGCCTGGCAAGAGTTAACCCCGAAGTTTTCCTTCAAACGAAAAGTAACGATTTTAAAGCACATCTTCCAGTTTCTTTTTTCTCTCTCGCAAATCTCCCTCGACAGATCCGATCGAAATAGCGCCGCGCATTTCTCTCGAATGTGGCATCCTTGCGGCGCAACATGGTTGCGAAGATTGATTACACTCGGCGCAGCCATATCCCGTCGCCCACGCGAGTTATATTAAAGACGTGACCCGACATAAAGGTTCCTTGTCTTCGGTTCCTATCTATCTGCTTCTCCCACCCATTCTCTCTATGATCACATTGATTTTCCACGGTGTACTCCACCCTCAGAGTCCGCGTCATTCTCCCTCCGAGGTCCGCTAATTTACTCTCCTCTTGAAGAGAAGTACAAACAAGTACGCACGTCGAGTCGAACAAAACCGCGAGTTCTTCCCCGGCGTCTTCTTATCGAGAGACGTCCAGAAATGTCGCGCTGAAAGCTGCAGTCGCTGTTTACTCCCGAGTAATCCGGGAACGAGTGCTCGAAAGCTTTGCAAGTTTGATTGAATTCCGGCGGCGTTGCCGAGAGAAAATGGACAAGTTGCTAGCTTCGGAGTTTGTTTCCACGCGAATCCTACATTTTTGGTCTCCTCGCCGCGAAAGTTAGCGAATATCGTGAACAGGAGTTTGGTCAATCGTAATCGACTTGAATTTTTGTAAAATGTTGTTA